AGAAAGAAGGACGGAAAATCAAGAAAAAAACATCCGAGATGCGTGACGGGATACCTTAAATAGTCTACAAACAAAAATGCAAGACTAATTGTGCGTGAAACAAGTCGCAGAAAGAAAGGGTCCAGAAAAGTGCCTAAACAAGCCGTACCAAGTATGAGATAGACACGACTCACAAAATGTCTGGGTGTATGGGTTGGTTTATCGTTACTTTATTCATCAAGGTAGTCAGAAAAGCAATAACTAACATAAAGGTCAGTGAAGCGCTAAATGATATTGAGCCATTTGATCAGTACTTCTCAATTATTTGCACAAAACGAGCTATACTCTATACAATGTGATAGCAGCAGTCGCTATCGATGAACATCGATGGGAAGCGACATTTGCACATCCAGTGATATACGCGTGATCACTGGAGCTCCAATTTTAACAATTTCCGGCAACCAATAAACGGGTTCACGTTGATGATGTTCCCAAGAAACCATTTGTGTGCACTTTTCCGTTGCTTTCCTTCTTGCTATTATCCACCGACGTGTGACCTGCATCGGAAACCAAAAGTCAGCGAACAGCATTGTCTTTCAACTCAATTGACTTGTAGCAACACAAGAAGCACTTCACGCTCGGTCATTTGATAAATGTCCCCCATGTCATCATAAACATTTTACAATTTGTGGGATTCACCAATAAATGCTAATGGCCATGAGCGGGGGAGGGAGGGATGGTGATCTTTCTATCAGCCTATTGGCGATTTCTCTAAGCATAAAGAATGGAAGACTGACATCCCAATGGAATGCGCAAATGTGTCCAAACAGGTCCACACTTACTGCTTTGTCCATTGCCCAAAATCAGACCGCGATCAGCATTTTCAAACTCGTTGATCTTGTACAACGCGTTAGCCAAATCGCGTGCTTCCGGCTGATACCACATAGTGTGCATTGTTTCACCCTCTGGCATACTCGGTCGTTCCAAACACATCGGGCGCGGGATCGCATAGTGTAAAATATGATGCCTGCTTGTAATCGAGTCGATATACTGGGCCACTGAACAACTTGTCAGACTGGCAATCATCCGAGCACCAAGCTCAATCAGGGAGCAAACTTTCAGAAGAAGAAAAGGAGAAGATTTTAGATGAGCTAAACAGTCATTGAGTTCAAAATAAAATTCGAACATGCAGTTTTCGGATACAGTGGCAGTTAAAATCTTCCAGAAGTATTCACAAAACTGATATAAATCTCTGTTTTAATTTCCCCTTAAATAATCTTTAATTCCTCTCCATAATAGCCAGTTTTGGAACACTACTCAGTGTTGCACACCACATAGTAAAAGTTGGGTATATCGTGGAACTTGTTCGTATCTGGAGACAATGCACCAGTCCACAGTGGTTACACTATGAAGTTATTTGTGATAAGAGGATATTTTCATGCAGCTTAACTGTGAAAAAATCATAACTCTTGCTGGTACCCGAACTCATACGTATAAGCCTATTTTGTCTCTCCATGACGCAATTTATGAGATACGAAGTTGAATAAGTTCAGATGAATAAACGAGAGAAATTTACGTATTTTATTATTATTCGGGATCAAATTTAAACAGCTTGTGCACTATATGAACGAGGAAAACAACTGCAATACACAACGAAATCTTACAAATTTTTGATCAGTTGGGTTGATTACTAAAGTACCTCTAACCAATATGCATTAATATTGACTTAAAGAAAACAAATGGAAGATCATACTTGCACCGAATGAAGCTTCAAGCATAACTGGAACAAAAATTATGTTAGGACAATGATGAAAGTAAATTTCCATAAAATCACTGGTAATTGTGGTTTAGCACCATACGTTTAGTCATTAACATCTGATATTTTTGTTAGTTCCTTCTGTCCTTGCAAGTTAAACACATGTGCAATGTGAAGGGACTTTTGTGAAGACGAGTCGGGTGCGAATCACAGCTATTTCATCTTATTTTGAGAACGAAACTCTTATAATGAAGTGTACTTCCGGTGGTAGACGATTCAGCCGTCGTCCGGGTCAGTACCACCG